AGCAATAGCAATAGCAATAGCAGTTTTCAGCCCTCTCTAAGCGGTTTACAGAGTCAGCATATTGCCCCCACAGTCTGGGTCCTCATTTCACCCACCTCGGAAGGATGGAAGGCTGAGTCAACCTTGAGCCGGTGAGATTTGAACCGCCGAACTGCAGATAGCAGTCAGCTAAAGTGGCCTGCAGTACTGCACTCTAACCACCGCGCCACCTCGGCTCTTATGGGACCAAGGAATAAGAGCTCTCAAGTTCACTTACTATAGGACTGTTCTACTGCTATGCTAGATATTTCCCTGTATGCTTTGTTGCTACAACTTTAGATAAAATCAGGGAGGAAACACAGAGGTGTGTATTAACCGTTAAGCAGACCAAGCACATGCTTAGGACACCAGGCCCAGGGGGCACCACTACTAAATCTATGAATTGATGTATATTATGGAGTGATAAAATACAAATAATGTTACTTTATCCAATCTAGTGCTCAGATATATTGGGCTTTCGCTTCCATCATTTCTCAACTTTTACCACACTCAGCTGTGCTTATAGAAATTAAAGTCCAGTATTCTTGGAGGATACCAGGCTAATAAAGGAGGTTCTGAGATAATACACTTGCTCTAAATTAGAATATATTCCAGCGATTTCCTTTAAAAAAAAAATCTGAGAGAGACACTGGATACGCCAGTATCTATAGCCATAAATAATCCTATAGTATCAGCTGTACTGACCATCAGAAAAGTGTGCAACTACTTTGTTCAACATTCAGCTGGCTTAATATTCTGATAAATGCTGTAGTTGAATAGTTTTCAGAACTTTGAATGCATTTTAAGAACTTTGTGCCTTTTAGCCCCATGATGCCCCTCTGTTTTGTATAGTTGACCAAATATTGACCTTCTCTAAGGCTCCTTGACTAATTGTTTGCGCAGGAAACATCAAAGTAGCATCTCCAGAATGAACTCCTGCATCTTCCACATGCTCAGAGATGGCATGGCAGACAACCTGTTCCAAAGAGCCAAGAAAATAACAGTCATTTTATATGGGTTTACTCAGACCTAAACATGCAACTTATAATAAGTGAAGTTACTATGAAGCCAAAATATTGCATGCATTATAGGAATACATCTGGCTAACTGGATTATTTTTCTAAATGTCTCCTAGCTTCAGAAAAGTAATTTAGCACAAGGGTTAAAGAACTGAGCAATTGATGAAGGAATTTGTGTCTCACACATCTCATGAACTTAGAAGTGTGATTTTGACTCCCTCCCTCCCTCCTCCTCTGATGATACTGACATTTTTACAGAGTCATCGTAGGACACAGAATGTATGCAGTCCATTTCAAAAACCAATAATGGTTTATTATCATTAATAATATTTATTATTACTACTACCAAATATATCTGCTCAGTCCCTTGTATATGGATAATGTCAGAAGAGCATAAGAGGACTTTGCAGTTTCTAAGCATAATTAATCTACATTGGTGGACTTATAAAATCCTGCTAAAAATATCTCTCCAGAAGGATAAATTTTGCTCTATTTCATAGTAGGGATTAAGGGAGACCTAGAGGGGCTCATTCAGCCTCTTTTCATTTATTCGTCTCTGCTTCACTTTTCCTAACTGGAAAAAAAGATTTTCCTCCTTTCTTCTCTGTTGATTCAACATCAGACAAAAAGCTCAGAGCTACATTTGTGTCATGGTGTGTCACCGCCTTAATAGACCTGCCATGATGCTCAATGGGCTTGGTTCCATGTACTTCACATGTATAGTCTGCTAAATATGATTCAGTGACTTAGCTGGGGGATTTCAAGCAGGGCTGTTTTTTACGCAGAAGAGAGTTATGGGACCAAGGAATGAGAGAACTGCTAAATTAACTGTGAGAAAAAGAAGAATATTCAACATGATAATCAGACAACTGAAAAATTGTTAGGCTGTGAATATGAGCTGTAGTCCTTTCATGGTGCAATTTTTCTGGCAAACGAAGTTTGCAACGTTTTGCAAAGTCTATGATCAGCAGAAGGAGGAAAAATGCTGAATGTTCGTGCTGGAGGGTTAAACCAGGATTATGTGGGGTTTTTTTTTCTGTACACACAATTCAGGGAATTCTATCAAATTGCTCTGGTCAGTTGCAATGATGAATATCTTGGGCTGTGTGAGTTATCAGACTAATCTGGTATAGCACTACTATACATTATGACAGGGAACGATGGCCGGCATCTAATGGCCTTTGTGAGGCTTAAAGGGAAAGGTTATTGTCACTGAACACTACACCCAGCAGTTTTCTCTGGGAAGATGAAAGGCAAATAAGCAAAGGTGACAGCTTTTCGATGCATTACAAACAATGTTAAGTAAATGCAATGTTCCCTGCTGAAACTGAAAACAATAAAAGTAATTCCAACAAGCAAGAGCAAAGCAATATAATCTTTAAAGAAGCTCATACTGGGGGGGAAAAAACAGATTACTGACAAAACATTTCTCAAGGCTAGGTGGTTGTATAAAATCTTTGTTCAGTCTAACCTTTGTTTAGCTCAGCTGTAAAGAACTTCTAGTAGAGCTGAAAATGGAACATTTGTCAAGTCTCTCTATGATCATTTTATAAATCCCGGAAAGAGAAAAGTGTCTACCTTTCCATTCTTTGCAACTGCATCCATTTCCACCTCTCTAGCTCTTTCAATGAATTTCGTTAGGACGACAGGGTGCTCCTGTTACAAAGAGAGAATATATTCCGCATTCAAGTTAGTAACTACTTTTGAAAATATTCAATTGGACTGGAGAAGTAAAGTTAAAAGAAAAAAATGTGTAAGAAAATTACTCTCACAAAGCTTTCCCGGCTCTAGGGAATTTAAAATGGAAATAAAAATACTGTAACGAAACTGAAATCAATTATACACATTTCACTAATTTTAAAGGAATGCAGACCTGAGCGTACCCTTGGCTGTCAAGAGTCTGCATTAAATTTCCTTCTGTGTGGAAAGTCAATCGTTCCCTATCCTCACCCTGCCACCCTGAGTGCAATTGGCAATTGTAGCCTTCAATTTTATATTCCTACAGAGATTTCTTTTCCCACCATCACGCTGTTCTTGATTCATGACACATTGGGAAGAAGGGGGAAAAAAACATAGATAAATTCAAGCCTGCCTCCAATAATTCCTATATACGATCTCCTCTTGAGTTGGTAGGAAATGATATAGTCATTTTTACAGTATGTCCCAGGTGCTCCAGAAATTTTATTTTTTAAAATAAGAATGTAAGTAAACAGTCATTTCTGCAGAATATAATTTGTGGACAAAAATATATATTTCAGCAGTTAGTGTTTCACAAATACACAGTCTTTCTTCAGGTGAAACTCGATGAAACCTCCCCTATCTTACCATAGACTCTAGTTCAGAGGTGGGTTCCTACCAGTTCGCACCTATTCGGTAGCACCGGTGCATCAAATCTACCGAACCGGTTAGAAGAGGTTCCACCAGTGGACCCGGAAAGCAGGCCACACCTACAGAAGAGGCTATGGTAAGATAGGGGAGGTTTCATCGAGTTTCACCTGAAGAAAGACTGTGTATTTGTGAAACACTAACG